TCATATTCTTATCCTTTTCTTAATTTCCTAAAGGATCCCTTCTGGCCCCTTCCTCACCCTCTGTTCCACTGTTGCTGTCCACTGGGCACCATTGCTGCTGCACAGTTCACTCTGGCTGAGGGTCACCACCATGGGCCATTCAGAGATTCAGAGATATTGTCCTAGTCACATCTATTCTTCAAGCACTCTCTGTTATTTCTCCCCAATCTAGAATTACAAAAGGAAACCCAAGGGAGTAAAAACATAAGCTTTATGTTCCTTCATATCATAAATACTCCTCTCTTAAAAGTTATCTGTTGGGTTCTCCAAATGTTCAATTTCCTATGAGTTGCTATTCTGGTCCTTAATAAATCAGTAAATTTTCTAAGCTGGTTATACCTATCAATAGCGATGTCTAAAAATTACCCCTGTGAATAGGATCAAGTGTTTTCCTTCCATAAGGCAAACTATAGTTTTACGAACTTAAGGATATGTGTGTGTGTGTGTGTGTGTGTGTGTTTTGTGTATGTGTGTGTACAGGCATGCACATATGTAAGCACTGAAAAGATTATGAGCAACAGATAATGGGAAATGCAAAAAAAACTACGTATTTGAGTGAATAGAGAGGAATCTTCCTCTCTATAGGTTGTATGTGGTTTGCTGAATAATCCTTTGGTGGACGAAAAAAATGCCACAATGTATCTGTGCACAAGGGCTCGGCTCTACTTATTATGGATAAGAAATTCATGGCAGGCATATCCCCAGTCTCCTCTTCTAATTGTGCTCTTTCCTACTGCATCTACATGCAACTCCTTGGTCCCTCCTGACAGGACTATTCAGACAGCTGCTACCAGCCTATCAGAGGTGAAACCTGAAACAAAAACTATTTGTAGTTTAGACTTAATTGTTTTGTGTAAATACAAAGGAACTTGAATTCATGTCCGATGCATACCTCAGACTCCAGAAAGAAGTCATACTGACAAAACAAAAATATTTTATTATGATAAAAACTTTGCAGAATCAAGAACTAGAGCTCTGAGTTTGGGTGCTATTCCTCCTTAAGTACAGATGGAAACTGAAACTGTAGCAAATATCATTACTATTCCTCTGGGACCAATATAGTTTAAGAAAACTTTTGTGATTTTTGATTAGAGTGTGGCAAGAAACAGGAGGAAGCTGAGCACAGTGGCCTACACCTGTAGTTCCAGCTGCTGGAGAAGCTGAGGCAGGTGGATGCACTTGAGCCCAGCAGTGCAAGGCTGCAGTTCACTATGATCATGGCTGTGGATAGCCACTGCACTCCAGCCTGGTCATCTCTAAAGAAAATAAACAAAACAAGAGGAAATTGGGGAAGACAACTATTTCTACCCTCCCTTTAGTCAACAGATTTCACAGGAATGCTTTCCGTTAGTAAGATTCGTTAGTAAGATCACTCTACTCCTGTAATGTCATTTACTCATCTCTAAAATGTGTATACGCATTATTCCTACCTCAAAGAATTATCTGATTTAAAAAAAAAAATAGTATATGCCAAGCTGTTTGCATGATATCCAACACACAGAGGACATTGGGTAAGCATTCAATAAGCTCGTTCTTCAAATTATTATCTCAGGCCTACACCTGAAATTGTCAGGACCTGGAGCAAAAGTACAAATGGAAGTCCACATAGTACATTCCTATATATTTAAAAAGTTTTAAATCACACTGACATACTTGCTTATTGGAATTAAATAAAAGAGGCTCCACCTTATTATGACAACATTGAAGGCCAGGTTTCAACACTGGAGTTTCTCACCTACAGATGACAGCACAGAGAGAACGAGCCCCTGAGCTCTCAGCCAATGGCCTTCTCTCTTGTTTTCCCGCCCACAGCTCCATCACACACCATGAGGAGCCTTTCTTCCAACTACAGGGTGCCCCGGTCAATACATATCTTCTGCATGTAGTAGTTCTTTACTTTGAAGAATTTGTTGGACTTAATCTTCCTATTTTAAAGTTCTTAACCTTAATTACATCTGCATAGTTCCTTTTGCCATGTACCAAAACATAATCACAAATTTCAGGGATTGGGTATTGGTAGTTGTTCTGCCTAACACAATGTCTGTAGAATTAAAATACAGTCCATATGCTTTGATTGCTAAGGAAATAAGAAATCAAGTTAGAAAGAAAAATTGGAAAAAATATATACTATTACAGCATAATTCTTTGTACTCAACAGACCCTCAGAAAAATATATTTAATCAATGTGTGATGAAAGCAATGAATACTCCTTATTTTTAAATCTGTTTTCTAATAATCACAACATAAAATATTTAAAGTTAATAAGAATAACACTATGTTGTGATAATTAACCACATAATTATATATTGGGATGATGTGCAGAGCTGGTATATATCCCATTTGAACACATAAAGCAAAATGAAAACAATATGAGTGATATTTATTTTCTATGCTAAAGGGAACTTTTGCCAAAACAGTAAAACAGTATGATTATTTAACTGTATTTTTAAAGCACTCTGGTATTGTTTATAAAATTTACATTAAGAAGAATTTTATTTTCTTTAGCATAACCACTGATTATCAGACTTTTCATCCCCTTTTCTTCACCTAACTTCCAAATGACTTTACTCCTTTTTCAAATAGGCATAATTAAAAACATGCTGCCTTTATCTTTTTTGTTGTTGTTGTTTTGTTTTGTTTTAGATTGACAAGGGATTTCTAAATGTATACAGTGTTTATAAATCTTTTAGGGCTGGGCAGTGATAACTGTTTTAATCACTGAAGACAAATTTCTGCCAGTTTTGGATATAGCTAAGTATGCAACATGTATTGGATCAATTCAATGGGGACATAACTATAATTGCCAAGCGCTTATCAGTATAGAGTTTCCACCAGCACTTCAGCTGGACTTTACAATTACCAAAACCAATTCCTGATTGCAGCCTCACAGTTAATTTAGAAGAGGTATTATTGTATTAAAAGCAAGTGCTTAAGGTGGCTCACACATGTAATCCCAGCACTTTGGGAGGCCGAGGCGGGCAGATCACAAGGTCAGGAGATCGAGACCATCCTGGCTAACACGGCGAAACCCCATCTCTACTGAAAATACAAAAAATTAGCTGGGCATGGTGGCATGTGCCTGTAATCCCAGCTATTCGGGAGGCTGAGACAGGAGAATTACTCGAACCCAAGTGGCGGAGGTTGCAGTGAGCCGAGATCGTGCCACTGCACTCCAGCCTAGGTGACAGAGTAAGACTCCATCTCAAAAAAAAAAAAAAAAAAAAAAAAGCAATTACTTTAAGCCAGCTGAAGTCATCCACTAGGGGGTTACTAGACACTAGTCAGAGCGCTCCCCACTCTTTCCTTATTCTCTGAATCACCAAATTTCTCAATAACTGGCAAGAAACAGAAAGTGGAAAAAAAAAAAAAAGACACTCCATAATTTCTTTGAGTCGCCTAATGATGGATTTCATCCTAGAATTTCTAGTAGCAGTGGTGCGTGAACTGGAAAGTTGGTTCAACAAAAATGATTTTGTACATGGTTAAGAACTTACAGATGATGAAAAGAAATGGGAGCTCTTATTTAAAGAGGGTTTCAAAACAAACACTCGCTGAATTCAGCATAATGAGACAAGAAAATGAAGCCAGAGAAATGAATTCCATTTACAAATAACAAATTTAGAAAATGAAGAAGTCTACTGTAATGGGAAAAAGTCTTAAAAATGTGTATGTGACATAATTGTCTGCAGTACTCTCAAAAAAGGATGTTGGTAAAAACTGAAAAAAAAATGAGATTTTTTTCCTCAGATGACATTTTCCCCAATCTCATTATGCTTTACTTTATTTTTAATCAAAATTTCCTCCTATCCATCCAAATCAGTTTTGCTAACAACCACTTTCCTACTTCACCAAAATGCGTAAATATTTATAATGGACAAGAGTAAAAACATAGATTGTTTTTTTCCCTTTTAAATTCTATTTGCATAATCATCTAGTATAAAGGAAGCCTGAAGAAAATGAGTAGGTAAATATTTTCAAGTACACTGTTGATTTAAAATAAGGGACTTTTTGTACATTTTGAATTTTAAGTTTTCAGTATATGTCCTGCTGCAGACCTCCTTCTAGTTCTGAGTGTTTTACACAGAAACATACATAGGTTGAGGTATTTGATGGCAGTCTCTAATGCAAATTAATTATCAATGTATCGAGGAGAGGCGTTGGATCACTTTCTATCCTCTACAAATATTGATTGTATCATTCTCTGGGATTTAAGTGACTTTTTGAATCACTGGGGTTCCCTTCTATCATCCACAGATTTTTTTAAATATTTTTTTTTATTTTGGAGTAACTAGATTTACAGAAAGTTTACGAAGATGTTACATAGATAAACTGCATCCATTTTATCTATTTTTCCCTAAAGGTAGCGTCTTACATAATCATGATACACTTTTCAAACTAAGAAATGAACATTCAAAACCAAGAAATTAATATTACTGTGCTTTTTGACTCTGTTTATGTGGGCAAATGGATTAGAATATCCTTTTCTCTTCCCCTTGAAACAACTGGATCTCCAAAGAGAATCAATGTTCATAAAGAGGTCAACTTCAAAATTAGTAGCCGAAAAAAAGGGACCCCATGAGCCTAGAATCAAATGCATTTGTCTTCCAATATGTCCTGCTTTCAGTGGAAGTCTTTCATTTTCGTGGTTAAAAAATGTAACACTTTTGGCTCAGTCACCCCCTGTAAAGTCTAATCTATTTCAAGAATGTCTGACTAAGTAACTCTGATGTTTCTACTATACTCCAGAATCACAGGGGGATTTTAGTAGGTTAGCAGATCCAGAAAATTCTGAACCTAGGAAAAAATCCTTTGTGGATTAGAAAGACAGAAGTTTTAGGACATTATCAAAGGAGCTCTCCTTTGATAAGAAAGGGACAGTATTATATTGACCACAAAGACTCTTCTGTGGGACAATCCCAAACCACGGCTGTGAAGAACTGGGCAAAAGGAGTATAACTTACCCTGGGAACTGGAAACTGGATTTGGCAAGAATCCCAGGAAGATCCCAGGGATCCAGGAAAGTGATCTAGCCAAAGTAAGGTACATGGTGAGCAATGGGTGTTAGTCAGGGTATTTCATTGTTCCCACAGGCATATTGAGGGCCTAGCTAGGTATATGGTTTGCATATACACTGTTTCAATATGCAACCTTTTTGGCTGCATTTGCCACCAAATTACAAGTACACAGTATATGTTTTTGTTAAAATCACTTATCAAGTGTTTTCATACCTGTCCTAAAAGATAAGAATGGTTATTTAGAAGTTTTAAAATAGAAGACAGAAGCACGGCCCTCAAGAAAAGAAAGCCCATACTTTAAATCATAAAGCAAATCAAAAAAGTTTAACAAGACTACTATCAATGCAATTTTTCATTTTAAATTAAATCATGGGAATAAAACAATTTTCTTTTTTCTTTCTTTCTTAAGAGCTTAGTACATTATAATAGATATGACATTGAGTGATTGTTAAATTAATGAAACCATTGTTAGAGTTCTCTACAAGTTTAGAGATAGATTTAAAAAAGGTACATCTGGCTGGCTGGCTGCTCAGCCCTATTTTAGTCCCTTTTAGCTTTGAAGCAGCCTAATCAGGAAACAATTCTGCACTATGGGTCACAGGATAAAATCCCTTGAGACAGAGCTCAGAATATCATGACACAAAACGGTCTCAAATTTAGGGGTTCTCATGGTTGAGAACCCCCCGTCCTATAACCCAGATGCTGTCACATCATATCACTTAAACATGTAAAATACAGAGACAATTGTACTCACACTTAAAAGAAATTAGCTGAAGTTACATAGTCCACAAGGTGGCCTTGCATTATGGGTCTCTTGAAAAACTTGCCCCTGGCTTTAGGGACTGAAACTCAGACTCTCACTGTCAGCAAAATTGCCCTTTCCAGTTCGGTCATTTATAGAAAGCTTACTTCTGCTTCGAGGAATAAGATTACAATTTGAATGTCACTAATCTGCCTCTGTGGAAATATCTAGGCACCCTTACTCATCCTAGGGAAGTTATTTAGCACAAAGTGTTCATAAAATGGCTTTGCACAGGTTTAGTATTCAAACAAGCAACACATGTGCTGCTGAAGGGGCTGGGGGGAGTCATGGTTTTATAAGGTTTTTATAATTCTGGTTCCTAAAATTTAAAGCACTGTAACAACGGTTTCATTAATTTGTGAATCATTCAATGTCATCTCTGCTAGAAAGTACTGGACTTTTAATAGGTTTAGGGAGAGAGGAAAAATATTCCTATGATTTAATATAAAATGAAAAATTGCATAGTTAGTAACTTTGTTAATTTTGGGGGCATGAGTTGGTAAAATTTTCATCTGGTGGAAGGTTATTTTTGTGATGAGAGTATACATCTGTTTCTATAAATTTTTCAGAGAAGAAGGATAGAAAATGTATTTTAAAAACAGCATGATGGATTTAAGCTACTTATATAAATTAAGGCGAGTTTTGAGAAATATAAAATGTTACCAAGGTAGATTATCACAGCAGGTGATTTTGGTGCACCATGAAAAATTCTCTTGGCCCAGTCTAATTTTGGCCACAGCTTCTGTGGGTGCTCCAGCCCAGGTCAAACTCAACCCTGGCTGACAGGCGGCCAATACAAGTGAAAGCAGGTTGTCTACCTGCTTTCTGCTTCAGGGTCCTCCTCTCTAGAAATAAACTATTGAGGTAGGAAAGAGTCATTTCCACTCTCTTGACCCCTGGATTATCTGTATGTACCCTGGATTACAATCTTACAATTTGCACAGTCTTGTTTATAGAAAACTAAAATGAAAGCATTCTTGAAACAAGTTTGAACCAACATTTCACCCCAAGACTGTATGCCTAGTTCAAATACTAAGACCTTTATATTGAGCACTGAAATTTACTCATCATTTATTCAACAAATGTTTATGGTGAACTTACCAAGTGTGAAGTATGTTTCAGGTACTGAGGATTTAGCCTTGCAACAAAATCATTGCCCTCGAGGAACTTCCAGTCTTTCAGAGGAGAGAGGCAATCAAAGTAAACCAGCAGCATTTCAGATGGCAGGAAGTGCTATGGAAGAAAGCAAGGCAGGAAATGCCAGCATGAGGCATCTATTTATAACTTAAAATAGAGCACTCAAGAAATCCTACCCGAGAAGGTGACATTTGAAGAGAGACCTGGAAGGTGAGGAGGAAAGGCATGTGGTTAATTGGGGGAAGAAAATTCCCAGCAGAGGGAACAGCAGTTATGAAGAATGAAGGCAGATCTATGAAGCCAATACCTGATCTGAAACGAATACTTTATTCTCTCTGAGTTGTGATTTTGTCTTTTGTAAGATGAAGCTAGCTAGTGCTAATTCATTGTAAGGACTGAATGTGTTATTTTATGTAAAGCACATAGTACATGTTCAATACATTAGCTCTTATTATTATCTGTCACTCAGTTTCATCCATTCCACTTACAAAAGAAACATCAGCGAAGGCTTTTGATTCAGCCAATGACATATCTAAAAGAGAAAAGAGAAAATTAAAACAGTTACACTGCCTGGAAGGTTCTCCAATGAGGTCCGGGTGTTTCCTCAAACTTCAGCTGCATTATAAAGGCCTAATCCTGTTGTAGTGGCTGGGGTATGTGGCATATGCCATAAACCAATGCTCCAAAAGTATCTCTGTGGGAGGCGGAGAGAGGGAGGGTTGTAAAACACCTGTGTAACTACAAAGGAAAAGTAATGTATAAGATGCTTTATCACCAGAAGAACTGACTTAGTTTTGGGAAATCATTCAGGGATAAAGATGAGTAGGAATTTTTTAGGTAGAGAATGAGCAAGATAGACTTTGAGACAGAGGGAATATCACATATGAAGTTTCTAAGGCAACAGATGGACAATCTGTGCCCTCCTCAGGAGACATTCGGCAATATCTGGAGGCATTTTTGATTGTCACGACAAGATTGGGGGTAGTAATCACATATAGTTGATAGAGGCCAGGGTTACTGCTAAACATCCTACAATGCACAGGACCGTGCCTTATAACAAAGAGGTACTTGTCCAATCAATGTCAATAGTATTGAGATTGAGAAACCCTGCTCTACAGAAAGAGAGTTCTTTCATACGAGAATAGAAGACTCATGCGACTAGCTCTTATTATCATACCAAAGGGTTGTTAAGACAGGCAGAATTAAGATCATGTAGGATTTAATTAGATTTTAATCCTAAATTCAAATGAAGTCTCTGAAGACTTTTTATCAGAATGTGTGTGGGGGGGTGGTGGTGGTGAGGGTATATGAGACAGGTGGAGTTGGCAAGACTTGATTTCTGTTTGCAAATGATTCTAATGGAAATTTCAGCTGAGGAACATTGCAAAGAGAGATGCTAATGCAGAACCGGTTTGAGGACTGTTAAAGCACTCTATCAAACCAAAAGTATGGAAGAGTACCCATGGGGAGAGGGGAAAGGTTTTTAAGAGGTGCCTCTGGAGAAAGATATGCTGTCAGGTCCACTTCTTTGCTCCCAGTGGGGTAACCCCTCCTAACCCAAAGTCAAAAGAGGAAGTTTAATGTCTCGCTTGGAGGTCTTAGAATCCACTGCTTTGTGGGTCATCAAGTATGAGTCACGTATGAGCAAGTAAAGGGTGGGGAGCTACTCATAGTAGAGTAGGGAATTGCAGTTCGTGGAAGTGTTGTGGACCCTGAGTTTGCCAGGGTGAAATTCAGCATGTGGGCTAAAGAGAGAGATTGGAAGAGAAGAGAAGAGGAGAGCATGAGTGGCTTTGTGACTGTCTTAGATCTTTCAGGAAGGGCAAGGGGACCTCAGCAGAGGAAATGAGAATTAAACTGGCAGATGCCCAGGGGATAAGGAGAAACTCAAAACATGCACTTGAGTGTGTCAGGGGACTGGTTGTATGTAAACGATTGGGAGAAATCTCAGAAAAATGAAAGAATGAAAGCATGGGCCCATCAGAAAATGAATTTAAAATATGGAGAAAGTAGAAAATACTAGTGGGAGTTGTCTACCATGGTACCAATCAAGGAAGAACTATCCCTTCTCGCCTTACCTCTTCTACCACTTGTTCCAAATTGGAGGAGTCAGAGAATATGGAAAGCCAAGATAGAGCAGGAGAAAAGAAGTCTTAGGTGAGAAATGAGTGAAGAAGTTGTCCCGTCCCTTTCTTTTTCATGAGCTTTATTCTTGCATCAGCCAATAGCTAAGGCAGGGAAGTAACCTCAACTTTAAATTAGATTCAGAGCTTTGATGAGACTAGCATTTTAATTACTGAACTCAGATTTTATTTTTGGCAAAGAACTAACTCTATGGAATAAATGTAAGACAAATTTTAAAATTTTATTTACTTTATGATGGCATCTTTCTGTCATTTTTATTCAATAAAACAGTTACTGTTTCACAAATAGAAACAAACAAAAACGTGGTTCCTTTCTGAAGAATAATTTGGAAGTGGAGCAACTGTATTTGAAAAGACACATTAGTGCATGTTTTAAACATGGTTAGGAAGCGTTACACCAAGGTAACAAAAAGCCCCAAAATAACAATGACTTAAATCCACAAAGGATTATTCTCTATCATGTTCCAAATTCTTTGCAGGGGTTGCGGAGCTCTGTTTCTGTATTTATTCAAGGGTCCAAGATGACACAGTGGCCGTTAATTTGAATTTTGTCATTCAGTGTGCAAGAAGGAAAGAGAATTCCAGTGAATCTCATGTAGGCAATTAAATATTCCAGACTTGAAATTACCCACATCATGTTTCCTAACACCTTATTGATCAAATGTAGACTTGTGGCCTTATCCATTCCATAAAATGGCCAGGAGATATACTCCCACCTTGCTCCCAGAAAGGGGAAAGTGGAAATATTTGCCAGATTTCATTGATTCAATAATCAAGGTAATAATTAATTGGATAATTAGTAGGACTAAAGAAGGACAACAGATATGGATTGGCAGATTCAATGGATAAACTTGAATAAATCTTTCTAGAGCTAAAATGTTTGAAAAAATAGCCATTTATACTATTTATATGTTTTCTAAGAAAGTATGTGAGCCCCTAAATCAAGGTGAGTAGATAAGAGTATAGATTAATAAATATAAATATAATTTATGTTTAGTACCTATTACTTTAAGAAATCATCATCTGTAATTCTTTCTGTTATACACATTTCTAATAATGATTAAGATATCAAAAAGCAAGTAGCAGCCAAGTCAAAGGATGTAAAGATATTTATTAAGGTGGTACCTTGCCATGTGTTTCTTTCACTTGTCAGCTACTCGTTGTCACAAGTGATGTACATGTGCTACTCAACTTATGATGAGGTCAAGTTCACCATAGACCCATTGTAAATTTAAAATATAGTGCCCCCCTCTACCCACTCCCAAGATGGCAGATTAGAAGTAGTGTGCCTCAGCCACTTGGAAGTAGCAGGATAGTACACAAAGATAAACTATGTGAGTTTTAATTCAAGAAGGAAAAAAGGAATCAACCAGAACCAGGAAGGACACCCCAGGTCCCGGGGTTGTTGGCAAACAGCTCCCTTGGTAGCATCTGGCTGATAAACATAACTGAAGCCCAGGTAGGTGAGAGGGGCAGAGAGTCTCCCTCTGTGACTCACATTTCCACTGGGGATCTGAGCAACCTAGACCAAGGAAGAGCATGTTGTTTCTCCTGAGCACTGGAACTGCCTTGGAGACTTGGAGGTGCTGAAAGAGAAAGACACTGGGAAAAACTGAAGACATTCTCCCAGACTTGGGACCAAGAGCAGGATGCCATTTTAAATCCAGGTGCACACAAAGTCAGTCATTCTTTGGAGACCTGGCAGCATGGCCATGGAGGCATTTTAGTCTCATGCCAGAGATTGGAGTGCCTTCTCTGGAGTGAAGTAGGAGCCTCCACAGCCAGAACTGTGGAAAACACCTCAGCAGTAGGTGCTGAAATTGTGCTCTCCCTCATTGCTAAGTAATGTTAATATAAAATTTAAAACTATAAGAATCCTAGAAGAAAATCTAGGAAGCATCAGCTTGGGAAAGAATTTATGACTAAGTCCTCAAACGTGATGGCAACAAAAGCAAAAATTATCAAGTGGGACTTAATTAAACTAAAGAGCTTCTGCCTAGCGAAAGAAACTATCAGCCTACAGGATGGGAGTAGATAGACAACCTACAGGATGGGAGAAAATATTTACAAATTATGCATCTGACAGAGTTCTAATATTTTGAATATATAAGGAACCAAAATAATTCAACAAGCAAAAAACAAGTAAACCCCATTTAAAAATGGGCAAAAGACATGAACAAACACTTCTCAAAAGAAAACATATAAGCTGCCAACAAACATGAAAAAATACTCAACATCACTAATCATCAGAGAAATGAAAATGAAAATCACAATGAGATACTATTTCACAGCAATCAGAATGGCTATAATTAAAAAGTCAAAAAGCAACAGAAGCTGTTGAGACTGCTGAGAAAAGGGAATGCTTGCTTATATACTGCTGGTGGGAATGTAAATTAGTTCATCCACTGTGGAAAGCAGCTTGGAGATGTCTCAAAGAACTTAAAACAGGATACCAATCAACCCAGCAATCTCATTACTGGGTATATATCCAAAAGAAAATAAATGATTCTACCAAAAAGACACTTGCACTCATATGTTCATTGTAGCACTATTCACACTAGCCAAGACATGGAATCAACCTAGGTGCCCATCAGTGGTGGACTGGATCAAGAAAATGTGGTATATATATACCAAAGAATACTATGCAGTATTCATGTCATTTGCAGCAATATATATGCAGCTGGAGGTGATTATCCTAACTGAATTAACTCAGGAACAGAAAACCAAATACCATGTGTTCTCACTTATAATAAGAGCTAAACATTGGGTACCCATGGACAAACATGGCAACAGTAGACATTGGAGACTACTAGAACATGGAGAGAAGATCAGGGACAAGAGTTGAAAAACGATGGAGTACTATGTTCACTACCTGGGTGACAGGATCATTTTTATCCTAAACTTCAGCTTCATGCAATATACCCATGTAACAAACATCCACATGCCCTCCCTGATTCTAAAATAAAAGTTGAAATTATGTTTTAAAAATCACAAGGGAAGGGAAGGACCTCTTTAAGAATAACTACAAAGTGCTGCTCAAGAAAATAAGAGGGACACAAACAAGTGGAAAAACATTTCATGCTCATGGATAGGAAGAAACAATATCATGAAAATGGTCACACTGCCTAAAG